TCAAATTCATCCCCAGACACCTTTGTTTGCCTCAGTTTCCTCAATTATAAAATGGAGATAAAAATAGCACCTGCCTCCCAGGATTGTTGTGAAGATCGCATGAGATAATAATTGTAAAATGCTTAGCACGGTGCCTGGCACATAGTAGATGCTATATAAAAATCCTTATCTTCCCCTTCCTTCCTTCTTATTGAATGATTGTGTAGATATAATTAAACAAGACAACGTATGTAATGTAAAGCCATTACAGACTTTTAGGTGTTTAGGTATTTATCATTATTATTATTATATTGTCAATATTTTCTATTGTCATCAAATTATAGATACATGGATACAAACACATACCATATGCTTGTATATGCAAACATATTTTATATATATGCATCCTCAGGAAACTGCAAAGAACTCACACTATTAGTGCATTCATGCATACACATGCACTCATGTACATTTTAAAAAGTAATGAGAACATTTGTTCGTGGCAGCTAAGGGAAGAGAAAGGAAGGGAAGAGAAGGGAAAGGAACAAGGATTTATTTAGCACCTACTGTGTACCAGGCATATATTATCCCTCTTTGAAGGCATTTGGTAGGGGGGAGCTGCCTGGGGCATTGAGAAATTAAGTAGCTTGCTCAGGGTCACATAGTCAGTATTTGTCAGAGGCAGGACGTGACCTTAGGTCTTTCTTAGTCTCTCTGAGATTGGCTCTCTATCCATTATACCACACAGCCTCTACTGGGATACAGCCTTCATTGGGTCAAGCAGAGTATTTGGTGCTAGCTATATGAACTTGTTAACAGGTAGTTGGTGTAGTTCACTTAGGGAAGAGAAATAACTATTATATCTTAAATGTATTAAACATTAGAACAAGCTGCTTACTAGGAGAAGGTCCTTTAAAACTGGACTGACAGAGGCAGCTAGGTGGTGCAGTGGATAGAGCACTAGAGTCAGGAGGACCTGAGTTGGACTATAACCTCAGACTTTTACTAGCAGTATGACCCTAGGCAAGTCACTTAACCCTGATCGCCTCCACAAAAACAAAAAACAAAAACTGGACTGACAACCAGCCGGCTTTGATTATTCCAATGCAAACCTACCTGAAATAGGGAGCTATAATCAATTACCTTCGGAAATCTTTTCCAGCTGCAAAATTCTAGGATTTCTGTTGCCCCACCCCCTTCCAGTTACCTCACAATGACGCTAGTAGTGGTCCGCTTAAGGCAGACAAAAACACTAGGCAATTTCACAAGGTAGCAGTAAGGGAGGTAGAAGAGCAGAGTAGGTATCCTGGAAAGGAGCATGAAAAGAGAACTGACTTTGGAGTCAGAGATCTGCATTCAAATCCTAATCCTGAAGTACCTATGTTGACTTTGGGCAAGTCACTTAACCCTTCTTGGGCCTTCAGTTCCTCATCTGTAAAAGGAAGGGATTAGACTAGATGATGGCTAGGGTCCCTTCCAGTTCTAAATTTACCATCCTATGATGGGAATCGCAATTAAGAGATGTAACTTGAACTTTGTACCCCTAAACAGGCTTTAACTACTTTTGTTAGGGTGACCAATAATTTTCATAAAAACAACCAACTCTGGGAAATTCCCTCTTGGTAGAAAACAAATTCAAAAGTGAATGCTCTCTCTGTACACTGGACCTGCTTCTCCCTCTGGGATAATTGTTCCTGAACATTTTTAAAGTCTTTACAGCCGGCACAACTGAATAATGGCGCTTAATGGGACCTGCTCCTTCATGATGCGAAGAACAGGACCCTTATCCCATATCGGCAACTAGCCCAGTCCTGGAACTACAGGGTGAGCATTTCAGTCCGAGCCTGGAGTTCTTGAATCCACGTGTTTCCTTTTGTCTGCCATCTTCGGAAGTGTTTTGGCCCTTAGCATCCTTTAAATCAGTAACATGCCCCATCCAAGGGGAGCTGACCTGTGGGGGAGAAAGAGCACTGGGTTTACAGTCAAAGGAAACGGACTTTTCCCCTCCTGACAGAGAGGGGATGCCCAAGATGAAGCATAAAACACATCTTCAGACAAAGCCAATGTGGCAATTGGCTGTGTTTGACTTGGCATATTTGTTACAAGAGGCCTTTCTTTTCTTTCTTTCTTTCTTTCTTTGTTTCTTTCTTTCTTTCTTTCTTTCTTTCTTTCTTTCTTTCTTTCTTTCTTCTTTTCTTTCTTCTTCCTCCTCCTCCTCCTCCTTCTTCTTTTCTCTTTCTCTCTCTCTCTCTCTCTCTCTCCTCTTTTCTTTCTGTTTGGATGAAAGCAGGGGAGGGTATGGATAGGGTAGCCAAAAAAAAAAAAAAGAAGAAAAAGAAAAGAAAGAAAAGGCCATGAAAACATTTTTTTAAAAATGAAACAGAAGGAAGGCCAGAAAGAATCACAGTCAAGCAGGACAGCTTTGAGAGTCACATTTTGAATTTATTCTGTTTTAAAAAGAAAAGCCAGCTGTTCATAAAAGAAAACCTCAATTTCATGTACTTTCTTCTGTTCTACTCTGTAAATGAATTTTTTTTTAAATTTGGTATTGATTAAGTACACAATTTAAAAAAAGAAAAGAAAAGAAGAGAGGAAAGGGGCCTGAATCCTGAGTCTACTCTTTGCCACCTTCATGATCTTGGGCCCTTTACTACCCTCATTTGTAAAATCAGGAATTGGACAAAGAGACCACAAAGACCCCTCCCAGCTTCCAAATCCCTTAGAAAGTTCCCAGGCCATGTGGAGGGGTTTTGTTCCTTGAAACATTATCTTTGCCCCAAAACCTTCCCTCCCTTCTAAACTTCCTGATTATACCGATTCCCAAGGGCACCACCATCTTCCCAGGCACCCAGGCTCTAAAACAGGGGTGGGGGGAGCCTGCAGCCTCGAGGCAACATGTGGCCTTCTAGGTCCTTGGGTGTGGCCTTCTGACTGAGTCCAGGTTCTACAGAACAAATCCTATTAAGGGGATTTGTTCTGTGATATTTGGATTCCGTCAAAGGGCCGCCCTTGAGGACCTAGACGGCCTTAAGGCCACAGGTTCCCCACTCCTGCTCTAAACCTAGGTATCACCCTTGACTCCCCGCTCTGTTATTCCCCATATCCAATCTGTTGTCAAATCCTGTCAGTTTTACCTTTGTAACCTCTCTTGTATTTGCCCTCTTCCCTCGTTGGACCCTGTCATCCCTCTGGTGCCCATCATCACCACCTCACGCCTGAGCTGTTGCAATCACTTGCTGATTGGTCTCCCTGCCTCGTCTCTGCCCACTCCAGTCCATCCTCCCTTCGAGTATCAAATTAATCTTCCTAAAGAGCAGATCTGACCATGTCACAGATCTCTCCCTGTTCAATTAACTCCAGTGGCTCCCTCTCAAGTACGAAATCTTCTGTTTGGCATTCAAAGCCCTTTGCAGTCCAGACGCCCCCTCCTACATTTCCTTTCTTCTTACCCTTTGCTCCTCTGTTACTTCGGTGACACTCTATCACCAGATTCTAGATGTTTTTCCTGGCTGTCTCCAATGCCTGGAATACTCTCCCTCCTCATCTCTGCCTCCTGGCTTCCCCTCCTTCCTTCAAATTCCGGCTACAATGGCATCTTCTATGAGAAGCTTTTCCTAGTCCCCCTCGATGCTAGGACCTTCCCTTTCTTAATTATTTCCAATTTATCCCATACATGACTTGCTTGTACATAGCTACTTCCATGCTGTGTCCCCCACTAGACTGTAAGCTCCTTGAGGGCAGGGACTATCTTTTACCCTTCTTTGTATCCCCAGGTTTTAGCACAGTGCCTGGCATATAGTAGGTGCTTAATCAACGCTTATTGACCGACTGAAACTAAAGGTGGTTGGAAAAACAAACAAGAGGAATTTACAAAATTATGTTTTAAAAGCATTTCCTTAATAGCTTCCTTTGTTTTTCCTTACAATTTAAGAGTTTAATAATGCTTGCCTTAACTTTGACTTGTGTTAGCCTGAGTCATACCCCCTAGTTCTCTTTTTGTTTCTGGTGGGGGAGCTGCTAAAACTCTCCTTCCCTTCAGAAGGGAGCCCTGTCAACATCTCTGTTAGGTACAGGTGCTTTTGGGGTTGAACATTGAATGCCAATGTTAGAGGTTCAAATGAAATTACATCTCAGAAGAAACTCCAGGCTGCACACCACAATCTCATGGCTCTAGAGCTGAAGGAACCCTGGAAACCATCTCTAGTCCAACACACTCATTTTACAGAGGAGGAAATTGAGGATCAGAGAGTTTAAGTGACTTGCCTCAGGTCATGCATCTGATGTAGGACCTGAACCCAGGTCATCTTGGCTCCAAGTCAAGGCCCTGCCCATTATGCTATACTGCTTCTACGTGTGGCCCTGGTTTCCACTGGTTTCCAGTAAGGCCCTTCCCTTACACTTGATCCTTCTGAAGTGTGGTTTCAGGAATTCCCTCTGAAAATGTTGTGTACTATCCCCAGGTCCTCCCACACCCTTGCTACTCTTGTGACTGGAAGACTCATCAGCATTATGGAGAGATTTTGACCAGCTCCTGGAAAAATAATTGCCTGGACAATTAGACAAAGGAGCAGGCAGCGATGGCTAAGGGCAAACAATTTCTTCTGAGACCATCCAGGCAATACTAGCCATTCATGAGGTTTATGGAGGTAAGAGCCCTCCATAAATTCCGACTAATTGCTTGGTGATGTGTTTTTTTAAATTTTTAATTAATTTATTTTGATTTATCAACAATCACTTCCATACACTTTTGAGTTTAAAATTTTTCTTCCCATTTCTCCCCACCACCCTCCCCAAGACGGCGCACAATCTGATATAGGCTGTACACATACATTCCTATTAAACATATTTTCATATTAGTGATGTTGTAAGTAAGAATTAGATTGGTGGTGTGTTTTAATAAATGCTGGTGAGTTCTAGTGTACATGTGTTGGGTGGGCGGGGGGAGCTCTCTATGTTGTAAGGGAAATGAAAAAACTCGAAAAAGTGTTTAAAATCTAAATTGAGGGGAGAAAGACACAGAATACCGGGACCATTTCATTGACTTTATTTGTTTTTTTTTTTTATTTCAAATATAGACATGATGAAAGCAGGCAAAGATGAAGACAAGAATGGATAAGGCCACGGTGGGTGGATCTTTGGTGAGACCATAGGCCTTTGAACAGGAGAATGACCTTTTATCACCAGGCCGAGAAAAGGGGCATTGAAACATGAGAGCAAGAAGAGAGGGTGGGGGTGGGGGAGGTTCCCTTCTGTGGGCCCGTGTTGCCCACCTCACTCAGAACACTGGCTCCTCCGGAAGGACTTCACTAGGGCAGAGGACAGGCTTGGGTGAGTGATCTCACAGCTGAACTTGTCATGAGCATTGTATTCGTCCTTGGTGAGGGCCAGGGTGCTGCTCAGGCTGTATGTATTGTCCTTGCTGTCCTGTTCTGTGAAGCTGGTGGAGACCCCTGAGCTTTTGGTCACGTCATCGATCTTCCACTGGACTGTGGCTGTTTTGGGGTAGAAGTTGTTCACAAGGCATACCACTGAGGCTGAGCCTGTTTTCAGTTGTTCTTCAGATGGTTGGAAGATGAAGGCAGATGGTTGAGCCACACTCCCTGCAGAGGGGAAAGAAAAAAAAAACACCGAAAGGATAAGTTTAATAATAGGAAAATGGACTTGCCTCTTATAAATAACATAAGAGTTACTGAAAGGACATCAGACTGCACACACAAGAAGTAGCGAGTGTATTCCATAAAGCTCGGCCAGCTAATCATGTTCGTGATCCTGACATCATTCCTGTTGCTCTCATCATCCATATGTTTCTGAAGGCTAGAGTATGGCCACTCTGTAAGCTCCTCTGGCCCTTCCCCCCACCCACAGACAGACAGACAGACACACACACACACACACACACACACACACACACACACACACTTTGTTACTCTAGACTACTTTAGATCTATTTAGCAAAGACATCTTCAAACATGCTAATACACGCCTTTCCAATGATATCTTCCCTTCCCCCACAGCACCAAACTCTGGTTTCCTGTGAACCAAGCAGAGAAACCCAGCTGCCCTTCATGCAGCCCAGAAGGCAAGCAGAAAGGATGGACAGTGACTCCTCCAAGGAAAGATGGGCCAGGCGCAAGGGACTGAAGGTCCTTGTTCATTTCCATTCTCTGTTTTCTCCCAGGACTGAATCAGAGACCACAGATTTAGAGTGGAAAGGAACCTCAAAGACCACCTAGCTCCTCCACGTTCTCATTTTACAGATGAGGAAACTGAGGAGAAACATCCTTGCCCAAGGTCACAGAAGTAGTAAGTAGCAGAGGCAGGATTTGTCCCCAGCTCCCCTGACACCAGACATCCTACTTCCTTAATGTGGCATTTGGGACAGACTCCAATTCTTGAGCCAAGGTGTCACATTCCCTCCTCCCAGTTGTGTCCTTAGTTTGGGGGTGACCACATGCCACCTGTGTAGACCTTTTTGAAGTCTGTTTTCTAAACTAAAAAACCCACCTCCTCTCTTCTGCTCCTCTTGGATCATACCATAGGAGTTTTATAAAGTGAGGTCCTGAACTTGCTCTGTTGGGGTGTAATCACAATCGGGGGGGGATTTTCAGCCACGCTGGCCACAAGGCTGTGTCTTGGGGCCAACGGTTGTCTGGCCACCTGTCCTGATAGAAACTGGCCCAAGCAGGTCTGACTCTCAGCAGCTGTCAGATGGCGACAAGGAACTCTTTTCCCCTGCCCAGGTTAATTCAAGCTGCTGTCTCAGAAGCCCACAGACCAGCAGGCAACTTCTCCTATGGAAAGTCCCCCGGCCTTTAGGTTTTTTTTTCTTATTAAAAATAGTTCATAAAGAAACAATTAGGAGAAGATCAGAAAATAAACACAAAGTGTCCATTTCTGGGAAAGTCCCATTGGGAAGTTTCAGGGTTTCAGAAGCTCGAGCAGCCTAGGTCCAGGCTAAGAAATAGCTTGACTTATTTTTTCTCAATATTAACTCACTTTTCAGTGTGTGGATTGTTCAATATCATTGCCCTTTCCAGCCTTTGGTACTCAGATAGCTAAAGAATCATCAATCTAGACATAAGCCATTGCAATAGCCAGAAACCAACAAGGCAAGCTTAATTCTAATCGCCTTAAAGCTATAGCATGTGGTCCCGATATGGAATCCATCCCTCATGGGGAAACTGAGGCACAAGGTTGTTGCCCAAGACACACAGAGTCACAGTCTGAATACAATTTGACTTTGGAGTCTGTCCTCCTTCAGGATTTTCCCCACTAACTTGTGGATTTTCAGCTGCAAGCAAAGCTAAATTCACAGAGAGGAAAATAACATATTTTTAAAGCAACCCCAAAGTGCTTTTCATTTTTAAAATAAATTACATATGGTTCTTTTTTACTTTACCGAAGAGAGTTTGAAGCAGTATGTCCTTGATCAGACTCAGAAGCAAGACGAAATAGTGGAGAGGACTGGGAGTCTCGAGGTCATGGTTTTAGTCCTGGCTGTGTCACTGTGTGACCTCAAGCAAACCACTGGGCCCCTCTGGCCCTCAGTTTCTTTATCGGTAAAATGAGGACAGATGTGGGTTTGTACTAACTGATCTAAGGTCCTTTCTAGTTCTAACCCTGCACAATCTTTTAATGATCCACTAGATTTTGTACTTATTTTATCAAACTCCAGAAATGACTTAGAGGTATAAATTTCTTATTTGGCATTAAACAGGTTAAAAAGAGATACATTTGATATACAGCAAACATTCTCAAAATGTTTTCTCAGTTTTTAAATGGATTTTTTCTTTTTTTTTTTTAAATAGATTTTTTAAAAGATCTTTAAAAACCCAAGATTTCTGGGAGAAATAAAAAAGACTGTCACTCATTATAGGTGAGAATAGTCAATGAAACACTTCTAGAAAATCATCTCTTTTTAAATGTCAGAGAAAAATCATCAATATATTCTAGACACTTAAGTGAAATATGTAGATGTCTCAACAGATAAAAAAAAATATGTTATATTTCCTGGTATTGGAATTAGAAATATTTGATTTTTAACCATCACATTTTTTATTTTTTATATATAGTTTCTATAACTGAAAGCCCATTAGTACTGTCATCATCTCACTAAACTTATTGATTTCATTGTTCTAAATTTTATCATATTCATCATTTTTTTTGAGTGGAGGAAAAACTATGAAATGCAAAATTATTCATCTTCTATGATTAAAGGAAAAATAATTTTATGGCAGCTATATGAATCCAGTAAAAATTAATCAAACAGCTAATTTTCATTAATTCTTATATGAATGTCACTCAAAGAGCGTGGCACTTTATTTTACCAGTACTTCACTCTTTTACTAAATTTTATAATTTTTTTATTATTTTCTATTAAGAGAGAAGATCTCTTTAAACTCTTCTATCTCCTTCATTTTGCTTATTCTTGCAATTTCTAGGAAGGGAAGATTTAATATTGAGCAAGTTTATCCATAAATTCTAAAATAATTCCTTTTTCCACAAATTTTATGCATTTTGATCCACTTCATACCAATTTTCTATTTTTCCTCGCTAAGTAGCACACATCAGAAACAGATTGTGCTGTGGATCTTATTAGCGGGTACAAGTTGCTACATGAAGGCAATGACTGCTGTACCATGTCTGCGGTACCGAGCGGCCACCTCAGACCACTTAGACCGCATCAGTTGTCTCACGGTTAAGTGCTTATATTTCTGACTACATACTGCCAGTTTTAAAAAATTGAGAACATGATGGTTTAAATATCTAATCCTCTTATAAAAGTCTGTAGATATTTTAAAACAAGTTTTAATCATTTTTCTTCCCTTCTTTTAAAAATTTCTTAAATATTAACTTTCTCTAGACAAGTCTTCACGACCTAGGAATTTTTCAAATTTAGTCTAATGAACTATATAGGTTTTTTTAAAAGAAAAAAAAAGACTAGCTGATCTCCCAATATCCATTTTTTTAGTAAATTTCTTACTATATGATAACTCATTCCTGATTTTCTCTAACAGTTTATTATTAATGATTTGACTACAAACCCCGTACTTAGTTATCTTACTATACTTGGGTTTAGGTGAATACATTTTTCTAAGTCCTCACTTACAGCTATTGTATATTATAGAGTTTTCGTAATTAAATCGCAAATTAATACTCAGTGAAAGAAAGCAAAGACAGAAAGAAAAAAACACATTTTCTATATCTCAATGAATAAAGTCAATGATCATATTTAGTTTGATAAAAAATGCACTTACGTGTTTTTCTCCAGTTTGGTCCCTTTGATGAAAGTAACCAACTATAGTTACCTACAACTCTCCTCTTGTAGAAAACTTCTTTTCATTGAAGAGTTCAACTGGACTCTGCTGGTTAATTTCAAGACAATCTAGCCTTTTTACCCCTAACCCTTGAAATCTATCTTTTGAGATGGAGATGAGCTGGTTTTCTGTGACTGATAAATTTATAACTTTTGGCACTCATCACCACAAATCATAAGCATATATCTCCAAAAAATAGATAAAGATCATTTAGACACAAAATCTCAGAAAAAGGTTGAGAAAAATTCACTTACGTTTGATCTCCAGCTTGGTCCCTCCACCGAACGTTATCCACAGTGTTGACTTGCTGACTTCCCTCTCAACAAAAACCTCCTTCTACCACTAATTCTCTCTGGACTGGCTAATTCCAAGAAAACTTTACCATCTTTCTGTCAGCCTAGTGCCCAGATCTTGGCAATTCTTTGTGGTGGGGGAGACAAATTGCTTTTCAGTCACTCATTGGAAAGTAGAGGTGACAACTCTTTTCAGAAATAATATACATAGCCTCATGCCTTAAGGACCAAACCCAGGGATTAGAAGGCAAGCAACAATGATGATCTTCTCCCCTCAATTTTTACCCCTTCAATAAAGAAATTTTTAGTTGGGGGTAGGGGGAGAGAACCCAAACCAAAATGCTGTGCCTAGAGTCAAAATGCATAGAAATACAGTTGATCCCTCTGGGCTGGCTAACTTAGAAAGAGATGTCATTTGTCTCCCAATTTGTTTTTCTTTGAGGCAGGCAGATATCGTCCCTCTTACTGATCTTACTGAGCAATTCTGTTCCACCTCAAACAACAGAAACACATAAAAATGGCAAAAAAGACCATAAAGGTTTTGTGAAGAATTAGGGAAGAAAAAAGGCACTTACGTTTTATCTCCACCTTGGTCCCTTGGCCGAAAGTGAACCACAGTGTTTTGCCCTCTATGTGCCCCGCTACAAAAACCTTCCCTAAAAGTGGCAGCAAGCCTTGACTACCATTTATTGACCAAATTCGATCTAGAAGGAGAAATCTAACACCTGGCTACCAGCTAACCTCTACCTGTTATCCTCTATGCCACTGGGTCTAGAATTTTTGTTGTCTATCCTGGCTCTCAAACTCACAAACACACAAACAAGGAAGAAAAATGCATCAGCTGGAAAAAAAAAACAGTAATAAAAGCAGCAGAAAAAAAGGCACTTACGTTTGATCTCAATCTTGGTCCCGCCGCCGAAAGTGTATACACAGTGGTTTCTCTCAGTGACCTGCCTGTACCAAAACCCAGCTTCCCTTTCTCACCCTACCTTCCGGCTTCACAGAGCTCACCATTGCACTTGGAGTGCATTTCTGAACCCCCTTCTCTTATTTTGTGACCCTGGCTCTGAATTAAAGACAAGCTGTCCATTGATTGATTGATTGATTTTCCCATCCCTTCCTTTTTTGTTGCATGACCCCAGATAGTGAAGCTCAAAACTTCAGACAGAGAAGACTTTGTAGCTCTCACACAGACTCAGAAGAACAGGCATCCAAAGAATGAAAAGAGGGATTTTACTCACGTTTAATTTCCAGCTTGGTCCCTTGGCCGAATCCCTACCACAGTGCTAGATCTCTGTTGCCTTCCTGTACAAAAACCCTCCCAGCAGAAGGGGAACAGAGCCCCAAACCATCTGCTCAGACTTGCAGCCTTTTTCAAACAGGTGCGGGGTCCCCTCAGCCTTCATGGTCTTAGGCAAATGTGTGAATATCTTCATATCAAAGAAGGCCTGAAATGCCAAAGACCTGGGATATCCCAGGAATATTATCTCCCTCCTGCCCTCTTCAGTAAATTTCCAGCTTTTCTTTATCACTGCTTTATCCCACCCATTTTCCCCAGATCAACAGATCATTTTTTTTGAACAGTGGACTCCATTCTGTGCAATTGTATAATGTTTACCCGTGGATAAGACCACCGAAAGCCAGTAAAAACTACAGAAGACATTTCCATTTGAAAGCTTTTATTATGTCATTTAAAATTATTTCTTCATTCAGTTTGAATTTAGTAACCATGAAAAAAGCAAACCTTCAAATTCACATACAAAAACTTAAGAATGAGCGCGTACGAAAATATAAATCCATTATTTACAACGAAAAAATGTGACTGTTAACTTTAATAACAAAAATGTCTCCTTTGTCCAGAGTTTTCTGATGAGCGACTTTGCATTTTAATTTTGTAGCTATTATTGTCATCATGATTATTTCTTTTATCACATAGTTGTGGTCAGTGTGTATACATTTTTTTCTGATCCTGTTTTCTTCCCTCTACGTTATTTCTCATGTGATTTACCATGTTTCTTTGTATTTTTCATTTGTATAATTTCTTATTTCTTTTTCTTTTTCTTGGTGAGGCAATCAGGGTTAAGTGACTTGCCCAGGGTCACACAGCTAGTGAGTATCATGTGTCTGAGGCCGGATTTGAACTCAGGTCCTCCTGACTTCAGGGCTGGTGCTCTATCTACTGTGCCACCTAGCTGCCCCATTTGGATAATTTCTTATGGTGCAATAGTGTGCCATGGCATTCCTATACTAAATTTACTCAGCCAGCTCTCAATCATCACATGAGTAGGCTGTTTATAACTTTTTGCTATTATGGTTAGTGGTGTTACAACTTTTTATCTTTTAATAGGTAGTTCGTTTCTCTCCTGCCCTCAGGAGTATGATATTCCAGGCCTGTGATATCCCAGGAATATTGTCCCCTTTCCACCTTCTTCAGCAAATTTCCATCTCTACCATATTATCTCTTTTTCCCACCCATTTTTCCAAAATAAATAAAAAATATTTTTTTTGAGTAGATGACCTCATCCAGTGCAATTGTATAGCTCTTTAAGCTCTACCTACTTAACAGAATTCACTGAAATCTAATAAAAATAAAAAGCTTTTGTAGTTCTTGGGCCATATTGCTTTCAAAGAAGATTGCACCAATTTCCATTTCCACCAGTGGTGTGATAATGTTCCCAATCTCAGAGTTGTTTTAATTAGCATTTCCCTAATTATTAGAAAGTTTGAACAATTGTGTAGAATGTTTTTCAAGATGGCAGACTGAATTAATACTTCATCTTAAGGTGTCTGGTAAACTTTTAGCAGGGCAACAAATTTCATTAAAATCAGTCAAATTCTTTGAAAGTTTTCTTGAAGCAAACAGACCAACAAACCTGACATACTGTAGTTTCAAAGAGTTTTTTTACATGCATCACTTCATCTGAGCCATGAGCCACCCCCGTCAGCTAGAGAGTGCAAATATTATTCAGTCCATTTTACAGATGAGTGGATTGAAACTAGGAAGTCAAAAGACTTGCCCAGAGTCACAAAACCAGATAGTGATGAAGGCTTTCAAGATCAGTATAACCTTCACCACCCATGTTACTCCTTATCAACTGAGCCATCTCTTGGATGGTTATCATGACCCAAGAAAGATTGTTGACTAGATGGTTCCACTGGAATTGACCCATCTTGGCAAAAGCATGTCAGCTGGCAGATGAGACTCCTTCAAAGGGTTATTGTGTTAGTGCCTGGTAGCAAAATGAGCAAATGTCCATCTCTGTTTGGCATTCAAAGCCCTTCCTAACCTGGCCCGCTCCTTCCTTTCCAGCCTTCTTATGCCTTCCTCCTTTCCATGCCCTCAGGGATCCAATAACATTGGGCTCCTTGGTCCTCAGACACGATATTCCATCTCCTGACCTCAGACATTTTCTCCCGCTAGCCTGCATGCCCAGAACTCTCTACCTCCTCATCTTCACCTCTCGGCTTACCTGACTTCCTTAAGACCCAGCTAAAATCCCACTGTCTACAAGAACCTTTGCTGATTCTCCTTAACACTAGTCCCTTCCTCCTTAACTTCAATTCATCCATGTTTGTTTGTAACTGTTTCCTTCATTAGATTGTGAGCTCCTTGAAGGCAGGCATCATTTGGAATACCATCTTTGTATGTCCAGGGCTTAATACAGTGCCTAGTACATAGTAGTGCTTAATAAATGCTTCTTGATTTGAAGCAACTGGTGGTTCAATGACTAGAGCACTGGACCTAGAGTCAGGAAGACCTGAGTTCAAATCCAGCCTTAGATACTTCCTAGCTGTGTGACCCTGAACAAGTCACTTAACCTCTGATTGCCTGACAAAGTGGATCTGCTGGATCCACTGGAGAAGGAAATGGCAAACTACTCCGGTATCTTTGCCAAGAAAACCCTCAAATGGGGTCATAAAGGATTGGACATGACTGAAAAGAACTGAAGAATAACAAAAAAAATTGATTTGTTGGCTTGTACCTTTTTCCAGGTAAGGGAAAGAAGGATGCACTTATGACTGAAGCCCCCGGGGACTTTGCTTAATGATCTGGCTTCAAGAGAATTTGCCCAGGTTACTTTGTTAGAGAGCATAAGTGTTTAACCCACTTTTTTAGGTCGTCCCATCATGTAACAATACTTTTAAGCAGCAATATGCAACCTCTAGGTCCTCAGTGCCTGGTAGGTGCTTAATAAATGCTTGTTGATTTGTTGATTCTAGCCCTTTGTTTGTAATCACCTACTTTTAATACCCCTTCCATATTCCTCACCCATCTGTTTTTTCCCATTTTATATCCTGTTATGATTTACATGAAGAATTAGTGATGTCTGTGTTGGTGGAGAGAATCCCTATACCTCTAGGTGTGGGAATTCCCTGCACCGACACAGATTTCAACCTATCTATGACTTAGTAGGAAAATCCTAGGGAGTTGCCTGGGGCTTGGGTTAAGTAGTACACACAACTAGGGTCACACAACTAGTTAGAGTCTGGGGCCAGGGTTTGAACCCCGGTCATCTTTGTCCAAAGCCCAGTAGCCCCTGCTGCCTCTTCTTTACAACTGGCTGTAGAGTCAAATTAGCAAGTAAGTGATAGACATTTATTAAGCACCTACTATGTGCCAGGCATGGTGCTAAGTGGTGGGAATACAAAAGGTAAAGAAGAGTATGTCCTCACATCATCTCAGTTCCCTAGTAGCCATACATTGATTTGGTCTATAAGAGGGTCCTCTGCCTCTACTCACTCCTGCTGTGCATCTGTGCACGAAGGCACTCTCCAATTCCCAGTGACTAGAAAGACAGGTCCATTTGGTAAGATCAAAAAAGTCCTTGGTTGGTTTATCCAAAGTGACCACGTACTGTCTTTAGATCCCAGATAGAGCTGCTTTTTCCCATACAAGTCCTTGAACACTGCCCTTCTCATAAGAAATTGTAACATCTCTTTCTTAGCCCATCCCCCAAAGCAGAGGAAATGAAAGTTGGGTTGATTCACAGACATAATGAAGGCCAGGTGGCAAAGGAGGCCACCTTTAAATGGAAACTTATCAGGAAATAGCTGCTTTCTTTGGCAGCTCCTCATGTTCATGTAATTCACCTATCCATGCACATGAGAGTATGACAAGAATAATCATTGACATTTATATCATGATTTACAGTTTGCAAAGAGCTCTCCCTGCACTGTATCCTTGGGCCCTCCTAACAGCATTTGGAAGGCAGATGCTATAGGTATTTATTATCCCATTTTACATATGAGGAAACTGAAGCTCAGAGAATTTGTGATTAGGCAAGATGTGAACCCAAATCTTCCCCAGTGCTTCTCTAGCACATATCATGCTGTTACAGAGAAACTTCTCAGTGTTCTAGCTCTGTGTAACATGCTGGTCTATAATAATTCTCCTGCATAGCAACATGGAACCCAAATTCGGCTTTCCAAAATTCAAAATGAAACATATCGCTTCACCTAGTTTGTACCACCATTCTGAACTATTTTAAATATTTTTACTTTAGGTCAATAAATAAGATACAGAAGGAAAACAGAGGGGAAGTATGGTTGAAAAGGTTGAGAACCATCATTATGAAGCCGTGCCAGAGAGAACTTGACCTCCTTACCTTTTCAGACTGGGTTCACTGCCTCTAGGGAATGTGGGTCTCTCCTCCTCCTTCCTGATGTATGGAAAGTTCCCCACTTTTTCATCATTTGGCCGACCCTTTCCCTGGGTGTCCAACCAACCTGCCTGGCTGCTTCATTTTTACCAACCGAGTTCCTGAGTCCCAGCCCAACAGGCAAGTGGCCCAAAGTTCCCCAGTGCAGAGGAGACAGTGATAGGAGCTGAAATCTGGGTGTTGGAAGTCAGTTGCAACTCCCCCTGCATCTTAAGAATAAGAGGTCTTCGGAGAATTCTTAATGGGGGGAGGACTTCAAGAAAGAGCCAGGGAAGCTCTCTCATCCATGTCGCTTCTTGGGGGCTTCTGTTCCTCTCCTCTCTCCAGTCCTGATGGTCCACCTTGGTGGCTGGA